ATTAACTATTATGCCAAGCACTAAGAACAAATACAGATGAGGGGAACTATCATCCAAACTAAGGGTGCCAGGAGAGCCTTTTGAGATAGAGGATGTGTTGGAATTTCTCTTACCAACAGAATTCTCATCTGAGATAAGACTGGGTGGCCTCATCATCTGCTCTTGGTCCTAGTTGCCCAGGCTTTTGTTGAAGAGCTTACAGTTATTTTTTTTGTGAAATATTCTTAAAGAATTGCTTCCACCCAATTTCTTTTGCATTCTCTTTTCACATACCTTCAGTCAGATTTGCCTCTCTTGTCATTTAATATTATAAAAAATTCAAAAGTACTGACCAAACTGTTCCTCAAAAGTGTCTAAGATTGCTGCATTAAAACCTTTGCATGAGTACATTCTGCTTGGGACAATCTCTCATACCACCTGTAATCTGCTGGTAACTTTTAAAAATTTACACTTCAGACTACTGCTGACTACCCCATCCACAGTAACCATCCAGTTTCCCATTCTACTTCAAGGTTCTGAATAGTCTCTTTAACTGATGTATTCCTTGTTTATTTGTCTTTTGGGAGGTCCTACTATGAGAACAGAAATTGACAGCAGAGAACCTTGCCTGTCTGCCCCATTTGCTTAACCCTCCATCCACTGTACCCAGAACAGTGCCTGACATACACTGGATACTCAGTAAATATCTGTTAGATAAAAAGAAATAAAACATATTATTGCAGAAATCATCCACAGTGCAGGTTGCTGAATATATCCTTATAATTCAGTGAAGGGACACTGTATTTGACTTCAGTCTGGTCACAATTCAGACTATGTCTTGTGATTGGCAAGGATCTGTAAACAGCAGTGAAACAACAACAAATATGCCACAAGATAACTGGCACTTTGCCATTGTGAGCATCAGCATTTGTTCAGTCTTCAGAAACAGAGCAATTTTCTTCTGGTCGGCATGTAACTTTAAGAAGGGCTGTCAACTTGATTATTGGAAAGTGTCCCCTGAACAGAAAATAATATCACAGCATAAAATTCTGCCCCTACAGCTGAAATAGCCTGGACATTTCATCACCAGCAGCCGATGCCAGACAACCTTTCAGTCCCCTGGATAGGCAGCCAGCTGGGGGAAGCTGTGACTTCTGTCAAAAACCATATATAGTGTAAAAGATAAAAAAAGATTTTGTATTCTGCTTGAAAAGAGGGAGGGGATTCAATCTTATTCCTGGAATATCTGGAAAGGTTTTTCAAACTCTGGGA